ACTTGACTAACACCATCTAAAAGTGGAATGGATGCCTCTGGAAGTAGTGAGCTCCCCTCTCACTGGAGGTCTTCAAACAAAGACCACTTAACAGATGTGTTGTAGTAGGATTTCTTTTTTTGAGAATGGCTTGCACTAGATGGCCAGTGAAGTCCCTTCCAACTCAGAAATTCTGTGATTCAGGTTTAAAGGCACAGATGACACACTTGTCGAATGTGCAGATCAAACAAAGCTAGGAGAAAAAGTTAATGAATGGACAACAGTCAGGATCCAAAAAGATCTTGCCAACATAGAACAGGGGCCTGGAAAACTACTTCTGGTAAGTCACCTGTTTTTGCCATGCCTTGTCAAAATAAGACTTTATTTAAAAATATAAGAGCCATTCTTAGTTCATTAGTCAAGCAAAAATAGGCTGGTGAACTGGATTTATCCCTCAGGCTGTAGTTTGCTGACCCTTGATTTAGAACAAGGGCTAACTATTCAAATAAAATTTAAGAAATGTAAAGTTCTACACTGGACTTCAAATCATCAATTTCAAAAAAACAAGATGGACAAAGGTCGGCTAGATCCTGTGGGGCACAAAACATAGGTTTTAGTGGGTTGCAAATTCAATATAGGTCAACAGTGTGACGTGGCAGTCGAAAAACATATTGGTTTTAGAATGCACTAAGAAAGGCATAGAGATGTGATAGTCCTGCCACCCTCTGCCCTGGTCAAACTTAATTTGTCATGTAATGTCCAGTTCTAAATACCACATACTAGGGGCAGCTAGGTGGTGCAGTGGATAGAGCACTGGCCCTGAAGTCAGGAGGACCTGAGTTCAAACGCAGCCTCAGACACTTAACACTTACCAGCTCTGTGACCCTGGGCATGTCACTTAACCCCGATCGCCTCACCGCAAAGCAAAATAAATAAATAAATAATTTAGAAGGAAAAAAAACCCCACATTCTAGCAAGGATACTGACAAGTCAAGACGTGTCCATAAAAGGAAGGATAAGATGGTGAAGGGACTGGAAAATATGCTATACAAAAATCCACTCAAGGAATGGGGGCAGTTTAGCCCAAAGAGGAGCATTAGGAAAGGCCTAAGTGCTATCTTCAGGTATCTGAAGAGCTGTCAGAGGAAGAGGGACTATGTTAGTTTGCTTGGCTCCAAAAGAAAGAACAAGGAATGGATAGACCCCTAATTCTGAGGCGAAAGTTGAAGAGCAGCAAATTTTAACTTGTCATGAGGAAAGACTTTCTAACAATTAGAGCTACCTATGAGCAGTATATGGGCCTCCGAAAGCAGAAGGTTCCTCCTTCCCAGAGATTTCCAAGTACAGGCTGGAGGACAACCTGTCAACAATGCTGTGGAAGGCATTCTGGGTCAGGGATAGATTGGACTAAAAGGAATCTGAGATTCCATGTTGGTTCCTTATGGGCAAGCACTATATCTTATACCTCTTGTGTGTTCCCCCATAATGTCCAGTGGAGTGTCGAGCGCATAGCAGAGTCTCAAAAATTACATGTTGATTAACTGGTACGATTTACTCTTTTAAGGACCCTAGCCTTTCTCAGAAACAAAGGTCAATCTTGTTAGTACCAACATGCTGCTGTGTGGCAGAGAGATGGGATAAAACAATCTCAAAACATTAAAGATGATTATCACAAAATGGGCAATGGAAAGGCACACAGTGGGCATGGGCAGGCTACAACGAATAGGAATTTTGAAGGGGAACAAACGATGTTATCAGGAAAATGTGTACTAGCAAGAAAAGATAGGCTGGCAAAATGGCAAGTGCAAGGGATGACTGGTATTCGCACGATGCCAGACAAAAGTCTACCGGGTAGAGCCCTTGCAGTGAATTTAGATTGGACATGGATAAGAGTCAACAAAGAATAGGCAGGGTAGAGGCACATGCACTCTGTATCACTGAAGGGAACACTCAAGTTATTAGGATTGCAGGTCCATTTCAGTATTTGAGTAACTAACACTGACTGATGACCAATCAGGGAGACAAACAAGGTTGGTATGATTGGATTATCAGAAGTACCTTATGTTTTATTCCATTATTAAAATCATCTTATTTTAACACTTCTGCTACACTTTACACAATTAGCTTGGTGACAGCCAAGATGATCAGAAGCAGTAGATACCAGATCGCCGTTCTGCAGTGAACACTGCTTCTTCTCCCCAAGCTACCAGAATGGGACTGTAGGGAACTGCTTCAAAGATGGGAGAGGTACCCAAGTGGCCTGAAGAAGCCAGCTGGGGAATCTCTGTACAGAGCCAGACCTGCTCGGGTCTAGAGGCTGAGGAAATGGAGACCCCTGGTGGCCACCTACTCATCCTGAGCTAACAGGGGAGTCCGTAGGAGAAAAGCACTTCTACAGACTCCGCTCTCTTTACAGGGGCCTCAGTTTTCCAATGAAATATCCATTAGGCTCTCCAGTGTGGGACTGAGGATGGAGCCCCAGAGACGCTGTTTGGGTTTAAAGAGATCTCACTTTGAATTCCCTAGACAGAGTTCAATAAGCTATGTGATACCAGCTTACACTTACCCTCACAGCTTCCCTGGGAGTCAGCTATAAGCAGCATGTCATTATGAGCAAAGCAGGGGGCTTGAAACTGGGGAGACTTCAGCTGTAATCCTGCCCCTACCACTTACAGCTGTATAACTCTGAGCAAGCCACTTACCCTCTCTGCCTCAGTTTCCCTATCTGAAATGGGGATTATAATAGAAATTACCTCACAGGGTATAGTGAGGACCAAAGGTATGTAAAGCATCTTGCAAACTTTAAAGTCCTCTCTATAAGTCTGAATGTTGTTATGAGTGCTACCAGTCAATCAATCAATAGACATTTGTTAAGCTCCTACCATATGTCAGGCACTGTGCTAAGAACTGGAGTTACAAAGAAAGGAAAAAAAGTCCTTGCCCTCAAACTTACAATATACGGGGGGAGACAACCAGAAAATAAATATATACAAAACAACCTATATACAGGATAAATAGGAAATGATTAACTGAAGGAAGGCACTGGATTAGAGCACTTCAAGATCAATTCAGATCAGCCTTAGAAAAGAAATTTTACCTAAGTTCAATTCCTCCCTCCAACTCACTTAGCCTCTTTGCCTCAGATTCCTCATCTGTAAAATGGGGATAATATAAGGACCTACCCAACAGGACTGTTGGAAGGAATGAAAGAGATAATATTTGCAAGGCACTTGGTAAACCTTAAAGCATTATGTAAATGTTCTCGGTTAGCAGCAGCATTGTTATAAGAAGGAAGAATGACAGGGAAATTGAGGGAATGACGCTCTAAGAAGTTTTCAGTCATATTTCTCCCAATCTTAGGAAGAAGAAGTGACCCCTTCTTGTCGAGGAAGAGAATAACCAGATGTGTAAAATCCCACAACAGATAGATTGTTCCTGGTCTCTAAAGCCACTGATGGGAAAATTCGGAATGATTTTCCTTTGGTACAAAACCACATCTCTTCCACAAGGGACAAAGAGGAAATGCCCTCATGTTTCATAACCAAAAAGGATAAAGAATTATTTATATTCAATTCTCCAACTAGGTGGCACCATAGATAGAGCGCTGGCCCTGGAGTCAGGAAGACTCATCTTCCTGACCTCAAATCTGACCTCAGACACTTCCTAGCTGTGTGACCCTGGGCAAGTCACTGAACTCTGTTTGCCTCAGTTTCCTCATCTATAAAATGAGCTGCAGAAGGAAATGGCAAACCACTCCAGTATCTTTGCCAAGACAACCCCAAATAGGGTCACGAAGAGTTGGGCACGACTGAAAACGACTGAGGAACAACTGAATCCAGAGCTAAAGAGGACAATGGCTAGCCAGGACCTAAAAGCTGCTCAGTAACCACTCAGCCTGGAGATGATCTAGGCCACACGTGTCAAACTCAAATAGGAACGGGTCCCTGTGGGCAGCTCCTTAACTTAGAAAACCACAAATGGGCATTATCGATGGTGCCCTGCATTTTATTTTATTAAGCACTTCCCCATTCCATTTTAATCTGATTTGGTTTGACACCCTGACCTAGGTTAAACTCCTGGCTCTGCCACTTAGAAGCCTGTAACCTTGGTCAAGTCACCTGACCTCTGAGCTTCATTCTTCTCTTCTCTACTCTTCATGTTCTGAGGCCCAAATTAGAAGACTTAAGTGACCCATTTTATAACTGTTGTAAAGGGCTTTACAGAAAGATAGGGGTTTTTTTCCTTGTTACTGATCATTTGAGACAATAGCAGTTAACTGTATCTGTAGACGCTATTTTTAAGTTTAATTTTTTAAATTGTTCCCAGACTGATATCACAGAATTCTGTGGGTGGAAGAGCCCTCCAACACATCCCAGAAGGAAATCCCCAACTACGGCACATCTCTGTTTGAAGGACTCCATTGAGGGGATCCGCTCCTTGCTGAGGCAGCAGGCCCACTCCTCGCAGGAAGGGCATTATCATCAACACTACCTTTGCCTCCTGAATCAGCCCATGCCAGCTTTCACAGATGCAGTGTGTGGACAGATCGATATTCTCGGCTATTTGACACACCCCTGTCCTTTCTCCTGGCTCTTCCTCCTCTCTGGTGCTGCCATCAGCTGTGACAATGAAGAGGCAGCTCCAGTCCCATCCGGCAGGGTGGGGTGTACCTGTGGGGAGCATACTGAGTGCTCTCATCTAAAGCTCCTACTGACCTTCAGTTCCCTTCTCTGTGAAGTGAGAGGGCTGGACCAGAGGACCCGTAAGACCTCTCCCTACTCTACGATCTGATGATCCCATGTCCCTACCGCACACGTGACCAGGAGTTTGAGACACAGCTGCATCTCACACGTAACTGCTTCCCCAGGTTCAGAGTATAGGAGAGGAAATGCATCTCACCGACGAGGAGGATGCTCTTTTAAAGGAAAGGAGGTGGAGAGGAGTTGAAACCCACCCTGGTACCTCACAGGAGGAGGCTCCAGGAGGGAGCCCACACTTTCCACCAGACCCCCACCGCTTACCTGTCTCTGCATTTCCTCAATCTGCCTCTGGGGGATGCTCCGCAACACACTGTACATCTCTCGCATTTTCTCCTCAGGTATAACCACAGATGCCCTGAAGGTAAAAGAGATCATGAAAGGGGAGAGAGGGGAAAAATAGGAAGCTCTCGGGAAACCAAGACCGGAATAAGTCAGTTCCGCCACTCTAACCAGCACTGCCAGCTGCCTCAGGGGACAAGCGGAGGGCAGGAGGGACATCTAACGGACTCTAAGGATTGTAACGAGGACATGTTCTTTTGGAAGGCGGTACCTGGGAAGGGGATGGAGAAAGGGTAGACAGGAGGAGGACCAAGGTGACAAACTTCACTGACCTGCCTGGGCCATGATGCTAAGGACATCACAAAAAACAGAGAATCTCAGACACAGAAGGCCCTTCAGAGAGTATCTGGTCTAGTCTGTCCTTCTGTAATAATCCTGACAAATGGTCAGCCAGTCTGTCTGAAGACCTTCAGGAATTGGGAATCCACTGCCTCCCAGGACAACTTATTCTATTTGAAGACAGATCTCATTCTTAAAAAGCTTTTTTTTTTAATTTTCTCAAGCTAAAATCTGCCCCTCTGGTTCTGCCTCAGGAGTCAGGTTAAATAAGTCTAATGCTTCTTTCACAATAGCCCCCTATACATGTGAAGATATTGATCACATCCTCCTATAAATCATCTCTTCTCTAGGCCAAACATGCCTAGTTCCTGGGCCTGTTCCTTGTACAGCATGTCTTAGTTTCTTCACCATCCAGATCATTCTCCTCTGAACAGTCTAGTTTGCTAACATCTTCCTAAAAGAAGATCTTAGAGCCAAAATATATTTTTCCAGAAGTTCTCTGAGCAAGGCAGAGTCCAGGGTGACTATCACCCCCTCTGTCACAGAGAGGATGACATGAAAAGCCAAGCCCATGACCAGAAGCCATGGTTAAAACAGGCCGTTTATACTACCCCAAGAAATTCTCTTGTATTGACTCCTAAAATGAGCCAAGACTAGAAATAGTCATTCTCAAAGGTGGTGAAGAAGAAATTAACTAAGCATCCAAGGCAGGACTAGGCGGAGGATTTGGAGTGCCAACTAAGTTTCATCAACCCTTTCTTTCAACCCTTGCTAAGTCTTCCACAGAATTATCCCACGATGACAATTCATATGGTACTGCGAGATTACTGTAAGACATTTCCATAGTATTCTACAAAGTGTTTCTTTTACTCTTTTTACAAAGCATTTCTCTCACAACAGCTCTGTGAGTTGGTGCAAGTTTAATATATCTACTTGAGGAATGAGGAAACTGAGGCTGATAGAGGGTAAGTGAACTGGACAGGAAGCTATTTGATGAACTACTCTCAATGGTATCCCCTGCCCATCTCTCTAGTGCCAAAGGCACACCTTAATTTGACCCAGATAAATTCTAGGACATTTTCTGGCCCTTCATTCAACACCACAAGTCAGGCTCATCTGAGTCCTGACAGCAGAAGCAATAGACCAGCCCTGGGAAGCAGAAATAAGCCAAAAGAGACCAGGCAGAGGACAGAAATAAACATACCTCTTCCAGTCCAGAACCTCTGAAAAGGGCAGGACGTAGGAATCAGCAATGATAACTGGGACACAGCCGGCCTGAAGAACATCACTCAGAGCTGCCTGGCCCAGCCGGGCTCCACGAAGGACCACACAGAAAGAAGCCTCCTACAGGTGAAAGAATCAACGAAGTGAGATTGAAAGACAGACCAGCCCAAAGGACCTACCTATGAAAGATTCAGGAGATCAAAATTTTTCTGTGGTTTGAAACCAACGGAGGCCAACACTTCCAGACACCACAAGTTCAGCTTTTTTTAAAAATAATTTTAAATGATATTTTCATTATTTTTAAATAATATTTTCATAATATCTTTAATATTTTTAATAATATTTTTCCTGATTACAAGTAAACAGAACTTTAAACATTCAGGTTTTTTTAATTTTGAGTTCTGAATTTTCTCCCTCTCTCCCTCACCTCCCCAAGAAAGTAAGCAATTTGATATAGGTTATACATTTGCAATCATGCTAAACATATTTCTATATTAGTCGGATTATAAAAGAAGATATAGACCAAAAGGAAAAAAATGAAAAAAATAAATTAAGTGAAAAATAATATGCTTTGACCTGCATTCAGACTGCATCAGTTTTTCCAGCTTTTTTTTAACAGTTATCAATCTTCACTGACACAACTGGAAATGTTTTATCAGTCCACAACAAGTCAGTCAGTCAACAAGTATATAAGTGCCAAGGTACACATTCTATAAGTACCAGGCACTATGCTACATGCCAAGGACATCTTCTAGTGTCCCACCAGGCATAATACTGGCAGTAAAGAGAACCAGAAGTACAAGGGAATACGGAGGCAATGATTATAAAGCTCATAGAATTTGAAACTGGAAAAGATTCATTTTCTTCATCTGAAAAATAAGCCCAGAGAGGCTGTGATTTGCCCAAGATCATACAAGTACAAGTCGCAGGAAGAGAGCTGGGATTCAAAGGTAGGTCCTTGGACTCCAAACCCCTGCCCCCCCATCCCCATGCTGCTTCATAACTACACCGCAGACAGTGACAGGAATCACTTTTCGATACCCAACAATCTGATCTATCACAGGCCTAGCTATATCGTCTAAGGTTCCAGGCCAATGTCCCAAACTCCAAGTTGGCTACGGGGTGCTTGGAAAAGTCCGATTTTTCATGTCACAGGATAGGTTTACCAATGACAGCTACAAGTTCTCAAAAGGACACAGTAGGCATGAAGAACCTCTGCCCAAAGCTTCTTACCACATCCACAGAGACAACAATGGAGGAGGAGAAGCTAGAAGATGAAGCTTTTAAAGGACTTGAATAATTATACCAAAAGAGTATTGACAAAGGCACCAAGGTCAATTGGGGGAAATACTCTAGTTGTATACTTCAAGGCTCTACGTATGGTCAGTTCTTCCTTGCTCTTCATCATAGTCATGGACCCCACTGAAGAGGTAGAAGGTAGACTGAACAAATCTGTAGATAAAATAGAGCTGGGAGGGGTCAATTCTACACTGGATGACAGATATGGCAGCCAAGAAACCATAGAGGAAATGACAGCTGAGAGTAAAGATGAAATTAAATAAGGATAAATGCAAAGTCCCACCTCAGGTTCAAAAAGGCACCTAAACAAAGTGGAAGATGGCAAAAACCAATGCAATAATCATTTATGTGGGAAAGATCCCAAAGTGAGCTCGTTGCTGTCCAAAAACCTAATGCAATAATAGGATACATTAACAAAAGTCCAAATCTCAAAACAAAGGGGGTCCCCTTCCCTGGTCCGACCACACTTGGAGAGCTGTTCCATTCCAGGTACCACATTTTTGGAAGGATATTGATAAACTGGTGAATATTCAGCTTTGGGGGGCCCAGAATGACAAGTGGGCTGGAAACCATGCCACATGAGAATCAGCTAAAGTAGCAACTAGGGATTGTTACCTGGAAAAAAAGAATTAAGTGGGGACCTAAGGAACAGAAAAGCAGAGGAGAAATACGAAAACTGACCACAAATCTCTGAAAAGCTATCAGCAGAAGAAGGATTAGACTTACTTTGCATGACACCAAAGAGCAAAACTAGAAACAATGGGTAGAAGTTGCATTAGGAAGATCTCCGCTTCATTTCTTAAAAGTAGAATGGACTGTTGAGGAAGGAATTCCCTGTCCCAGGAGGGCTTTCCGCAGCATCTGCATGACCTTTGTTGGTGATACTCTAGAGATTTCTGTCCAAGCACAGACGGGACCACGGGACCTCTGCAGTCCTTTCCAACTTCCAGAGTCTGGTACTTAACATCACCCTGATCATTCTTGAGTTTAAGATCTAAATGCCACAACCGAAGAGGCATATGAACAAAACATAGAGTCACCAAGTGAAGAAGGATGGAGAAAGAGCTAATGAACTGGAGAACACTGAGCCTGGGACAGTGAGCACAAGGGTGGGAGTGGGACAAGAGGGAAGCATGGCGGTCACCTCCAGATTTCTACAGGGACTGTCATTTGGAAAAGAGACGAAACATTTTCAGTTTCCAGGGAACTGGAACTAGGACTAGAAGTTGCAAAGTCAAAACTCAGTTTACTATGTGAAAGAATCTTGTGGTAACTCGAGTCACTCAACAATGAAGAGAGCCGTCTTGTGAAACAGTAAGCTCCGTGTCACCAGATGCACTTGAACAAAGTGATGCTGTAAAGGAGATGGATAAGCAGAATAGAAGGTAAAGAGGAACTGATTTCTGAGGCCCCTTCAAAAGCGAAGATCTGACAGGCAGTTCATAATCAACGCACCTTCTGACAAGCCTTGAGTCTTTGGCGACCTCCACTCCACGCAAGCACTGAGAGTAACCCCAGGCTTCTACACACCTAACAGTATCCTAAGCAACATCTACATTTGCCAGAAGAAGATACTGTTACCTGGGAAACTGCATTAAAAGATGAGGAATAATGTTGGCAGGTCCTATCTGTTTTTAGATGTGTGAAGAGCTGTTATGAAATCTCCTCAGCAGATTTCAAAGGTAACAAACAGAAAACTCACCCTGGGGAGGGTGTCAACCCTGAGGAGGATGGGGAAGTAGAGAAGAGATGTTGACAAGAAGACGACTCTTTTTTTAAGCACCTCTCGAGAAGAAGCACTGAAGCAGCCATGATGAGCCCCAATCCACCCAGAGAACAGAGAGGAAAAGTGATTGGCCTAAGCCTTCTAGGAAGTCTACTTACCTAGTACCTTTGGAGAGAAAAAATACTAGTAAACCCATTAAGGGTCATTCTGCATTTAGCTGGAAACTAAGGTAAACATGTCCAATCTTAAACACAAACACACACACACACACACACACACACACACACACATACACACAAAAAATTTTTAAAAGATCACTTACTCAGGTACTAGGTATAACCTTCCCACCTGGTGTTTATGGAAACAAGAAATGTAGAGGATCCAGGTGGCTGCAAGAGGAGAAGCAGACCAGGAAGAGACCCTGAAACTCCAAACACCCAAGCTCTCCCTATTCCCTCTCCCACTCCCCCAAAAGATAAGAAACTACTTTAATGTGTTCTGAGACAAACAGAAAGAGATAAAGTCAATATTCTAGACTCCTCTAAAGATAAATGAGAAAGCACAATTCTAAGAAGAAAATGAGTCACTGCATCTTCCAGTGGCAGGTGGAAAGCCCCAACTGGCCTGGAGAGACAGCCATCCAGATGTGGACACACATGCTGATAACCGTTTTTCCTGTCTAGACAAAGTTTACTATAAATACATCTGCTCACATCATCGCTGTTATCAGCTAGACATTCCAGAGGGAGATGCCCTGCTTTGTGAGGGAAAGTATTTTAACAATCTCAGCATGGGCCAGCTCTCTTTGGAGTTCAAAAAAGTACCCCATCTCCTAGAGAGCTCTCCTTGGGCAAGCCTGTCTGCATTTCAAGTAGCTAAGTGAACAAAACTCAATTGTTCTCTTTGGATGAGGGTTTCAGACTCCTCCTTTCCCTTCCCCCGCACCCAAGGAATGCTAAACATCTCGCCTATAAAAACATCCCCAGAGGAGCAGATGATACATCCCCGCCTCTGGAGGTTGGAAGTGTCACTCATTCAACCGAGGTGAGGAATCCATACCTAGTATGGAGGGGTCATGCAAGTACCACCCACCTTTCCCTGGGAGGAAAGCAGCAAAGGTCACTGCTCACATCCTTCAAGCTGGCAAGTCTAAGAACACTCGAACTCTGGACTCAAGGCAACATGAGGAAGCTAAACATATCTCCCTCCCATAATGAAATGGTTTATTTGCAAGACTGCCTATCTGGCCTGTGGTGCTAGGATAGCCTTATTTAGAGCTGAATCACAAGACTATAAGCCTTAGATTTGGAAGGCCCATTATAAGTCATGTAACACTTTCCTATTCATCTTAGAGATGAAAAAGCAAAGACACAGAAAGATTAAGTGACTTGCCCAAGGTGACCTGGGTAATAAGGAACAGAGCTAAGATTGTCCTCAAGGTCTTCAGGCCTCTAACCCAGTGCTCTGTCCATGGCATCACGCACCTGACAAGTGGTCAGATCCCAGAGTACATAGAGGAGCAAGGAGCTATGCTACACCATGCTCCTCCATCAGACTTCACCTAGTTTCATGTGGTAAGAAACAGGCAGGGAACAGTACTGACCTGTAGGACTTGGGGGTAATCAAAGACCTGGTCCTTGTGGCATCGCTTGCGTGTGGAAAGGACACCCTCGGAGAGATTGGTGCACTTCTCCAGGACCAGCACCGACTCCCCATGCTTGGCTTGGAGGGCCTCCAGATCTGAGCGGTACTCGGGATGAAGAGCCATCTGCGATGACAGAAGAAAATACCTCCTGGGGCTGAGAGGAAGAGATCAAAGTGATTGGAAGGCCTCGGGCAGATGCTCTAGGCAGGCCTAGAAAGTCTTTGAAGTTAGACTTGGAGCAAAGAGCATTCTCTCTTTAAAATATCTGTCATGGAATGGGCCTCCCCTTACTTCAGTTCGTAATTATGGGCATATAGTGCTACTTTCTTTTCATGTATACATTTCACAAATATTTATCAAGCACCCATTGCATATAAAGTCTATTGTTAGATGCTGAGGGTGATGAAAAGTTGAAATAAGAATTTGTCCCTGACCTTATGGAGCTTACAGTCCAGTCAGGAGTAAGACACATGAATAACTAGAATTTGCCATACCACATTACAAGAGCAGTAGAGAAAACAAAACACAGGTCCACAAGTGGGTCCAGGCCCAAAAATGGTACTTCAGGGATGGTTCTGAGAAAGTCTGAGGGTCCCACCAAAGTTAGCCAAAGTCCCAACCTAAATCCACCCCAGAAATTACTAAGGTTAGAGAAAGGGATTGGGGGGAAGTGCCACACAGACTTCTGCCAGCCACGTCAATCTATCACTGACCAAGTTACATAAGGACAAACTGCCTATATTCTGTACATTTGTAAACATCTAAGTTATTGTTAGGGGTAGGAATTAATTCTTTTTCCTTAGTTCCTCAGTAAAAGTTCCCTTTGAAAAATGTCATGCATAGCATATCAGAAGAAGACTTGGAAGAGTATATTTAACAGGTTGCATGACTTGTCCAGATTCATCCTGGTAACAAGCCCCAGGACAGGCTCTAACCCCCAGCTCTTGGCTCCTCTTGCTACAACATGCTGCCTGGGGCCTTGTTTTACCTTCTGAGAACAGGATCAGATTCATCCCATTCTTCAAAGGGAGGACAAGGTGACAAATAAATGCAAAGCACTCAGCTCCCATACCGATATCGATTCAAGGCAACATGGAATCACACCTCCACTGATGTGCACGTGGGGAGAAGAGCACTATGAGAGGCAAGATTAGCTACAGGCCACAAAGTAAGTCAAGGGAACAGAAAAAGCTCCCAAGAATCCAGTGGAAAGAACACAGGATTTGGAGTCAGAGGACCCATGGCTTAAGACATGTCTAAATCGATCACCAAGTCACTTCAACTCTCTTGGTTTCAGTTTCTTTACCTATAAATGAGGCAGATGGGATCTGATGACCTCAAAAGTCCTTTCTAACTTTAAATCCTATGACCCTGTAGTGAATTTGAGAATCATATTTGAATGGACAACTTGCTGACTAACAAAAAAAATGATACAGTTCTTGGTACTTTTCTTTTTAAAGAGCTACTACTAAGTGTTTAGTTTAATTAGGAACACTGCCGCAAACCTGATTTCCCTCCACGTGTATAAGAGAGTGTGTTCAGAGTTGGCCTGGCAGTAGAGAGGCAGAGCTCTGGTTCCTACAGTCAAAGGCCTCTCCAGATTACTGAATAGAAGTGCCAAACCTCAAAATAGGGCTGGGATGATTATAAAAAGCCAACACTTCCTCTAGCTATGACCTACAAGGACCAATACCTCTTTGGCCCAGCCACACTGACTGGGTTCAAGCAAATAACTAAAAGCAAAATGTCACCCACAAACTGGGCCAACTCCATGAAAGGTCTGTCTATTTTTAGGGAAGAATGAAATGAAATTGAGAGCACTTCAACTTCTTTCTGAAATAGGCCAGGACAAAAGGGCCATACTTGGACACACCCCACCCTAATGTTCCATGAAGTCATACGGCTGAATCAATGGAATCGCTTCTTAGGAGGCCGACTTAAACACAGGCAAGTTAGAAAGCAGAATCTTGGTACCTGACTCTAACTGAAAGAAGGAGCTGGGTTTACTCTATGACCCACAGCAAGTCACAGCCTTATTTTCCCCTCCTGTAAAATGGGGATAATCACTCTTGTACTACCTACTTCACCGTCTCTTTGAGAGAAAAGCAGTTTATAAATCCTGAAGGGTGACACTGGATAGACACCCACGTAGGTCACCTAGAGGTTGATAAAGTGAGGTAGAGAACGCCAAGAACACCATGGCCACTGATGAGTCAGGCAGCTGAGGGCTGAGAGGTGAAGAGATTTGCTGGACTAGTCCCAGGACTAGTCAACATCGGAGCTGGGACCCAGGCTCCAAATCCAAGCATCTTTCTCCTACCCCATCAATGAAATCACTCATCTTCATTATCTAATTGTTATTGTCATCATCATTAGAATATTCAGTGGTGTTCCAGATAAAGAAAAATGGTATTTCTGGGAGTGACCCAATTGGGCCTAGGGCCAAAAAACTGATTTCATCCTTCCACTAAATCATAAGCAAAGGTGGGGGAGATGGTTTGCTGGACTTCCCTACACAGAAGCCAAGTGTAGATTCAGGAAGTCCTTTATATCACAACCATCTAGTCAATTTCTATCCACCCACTCCCACCATCTCTCCCTTGGCCTCATCCCCTTCAATTTCAATTTAAAAGAAGGAAAGCATCAAACTATCTTAAGGACTTACTTACCTGGCATTCAAGGCTTTTCACAACCTGACCACCACCACATTTTGCTCCCTAAGTGCTAACCTAATTGGATTGTCTCCTGAACATGCACTCCCCTCTCAGCCACCTTACTTTGGCTCATGTGGCTCCTTCTGTCTAGAATGCCCCACCCTCCCTCATTTATTGAATTCTTATTTCATTCACTCGACATTCAATGAGTATTTTTTAAGCAGCTACTAATGTGACAGGCACTAGGCTAAGCAGTGGATGCACAAAGACAAAAATGAAACGTTCCTTTATTAACCCTTAAAGTCCTAAGTAAATGCTACCTTTTCTCCTACCTCCCATTCAGACATGCAGAGCATTTTTTTTAATATAGCTGTACAATGCACCGGATTATATATACTGGATTACAGAGGTCTCAAACATCACAGCCTGCAAAATTCTCAGGGGCTGCCCCAAACAGATTCAAATGTAATTGGGAAATGTTTAACAAAACAAATTAAAATAAAATGCAACGGGGATAATGTTAATAGGGATGTTAATAGTCAACAGGGATCATTTCTCCTTCAGTCGAGTCAGAGGATGTGGACAGAAACCCAGATCTACTGCTTATTACCTGCACAAACTTAGGTTACAGCCAAAATTAGAGGGCCTCAGTTTCTTTTTCTGTAAAATGAGAAAATTGGACTAGGTGATGGCCAAGATACTCCCATGGACCCTCATATTGTGCTTGTGCCTTCTCCTCATGCCAGCCCTAAGCCCCACAACAGCAAGGACCCTGTCTTAGCTAAACTTCACATCTCCAGCTACCACCTCCCCAAAGTCCTCCCTGCAGAGTAAGAGCTTAATTAACATTGTTGTTGTTACCTTCCCCTTTCTCCAAGGGCTGCCTGAGCTTATGGGATGAGTGGATCTTTAATAAACACAATCTGGGAATGGGTTTGTTTTATTATATGTCCTCTTTTTTAAAAAAGAAAGAAAGAAATCACTACTGGTGGCTTCTGTGATTCACCCAATAGTGTCCAAATTCTAAATTTAAAAAAATATCACATGACCTTCCAAGGCTGTCACTTATGAAAGCTGTAAACTCCTAACTTATCTCCATTTAAAGGAAAAATGACAAAAATCCTACCTGAAGCCAACACACCTTGCAAGAAGCTAGCAGTAATGATTTTCCACAAGTTCCCATTAGGGAAAAATTGGTAAAAGGGCAGGGCAGGGGTGCAGAGATTGCAAATAAAAGACAATGGTCTGACCACCCCTGTGCATGCCTCAAGACATGTGGGAAACACCCCCAAGAAGTAATTCTCACAAAGTGCCCCAAATCCAAAACACTTCTGTCGCTATCCCTCCAAATGGGTGGTGAGAGTGTCCTTGCCTCTGTCAAGGGACAGAAGAAGAGGAAGAGACCAGCACAGAAGTACAAGCTTTGAGGGTAAAGGGAGACTGGGCTCTGAGGTAGACAGCTGCCAGTCAACCAGCATATGGCACTCATCCCACCAGCTACAACCTATCCCTTCCTTCTGCCTATTGAAAAGAATCACAGGAAAAATAAGAATTTAGGATTTAAAGTTCCCAGGTGTCTTAGAGAATAACATCACTGTGACGGCTGGCATGTATACGTAGCACGTCAAAGTTTACTCAGTCATGTTACATACAAAACTTCAGAGCTCAGAGAGGTTGAGTAATTTGTTCAAGAGGTTCCAGCTGCAGACTATTCACCATGCTGTCTCTCCTAGGCCAACCCTTCATTTTATACATAGGGAAACTGAGGCCGTAAGAGGGGAAACAACAAGAAAGCATCGCAGGGCTCAGAGCTGGAAGTGATCTTCTCCCACCCCCTTATTTTACAGATGAGGAAACCAGGGGCCAGGAGATGGGACAGCTTGCCCCGGCCACGCCGGTAGCTAAGTGGTTGAAGTTGGCCTCAGCCCCAGGCCGTCTGACTCCAAATCCAGTATGCTTTCCATTACATCCCTTAATTCCATTAGACCCCACACCAAGTCATGATGTGGCCTGCTCCCTTCATTACCAACCCCCGGCCCTAATAACCAGCCTATAAGTAGAAGCAAAACTGCTTCCAGATCACCAAGGCTTCTTATATTGTTGAAATAAGAGCATGTTTTACACATGGGGGAGAGGGAGAAAAGGAAAGAGAAAAAAAGCCCTCAGGGCTATTATGGCTAGGTGCATTGCCTGTGTCATGGCTCATAACCCTCTCATCATACAGAGAAAGAACAGGTTGTGTGGAGAACACCTTACCCTGGTCCCCTCTCTGGTAGGTCCACCTCAGCTGACAGGGAACTATAGACAGGAATGCTGACATCGTAGCCTTGGCGATAGGTCCACGTGGAGAAGCCACCACCAGCCAGAAGGGCCCTGGAAGTAAAAAATGTCAGGAAACTGTAAGGAAGAAGGGTTCCAATTCCACCATGCTCCAGTCCAAGCAGACTGGACCAAAAGGGACACTTTCCGGGACAACCAATGCTTTCCATCCTTGACTCACTCCTTCGTCCACTAGGATCCCAAATTCAGTCTTCTTTAATCACCTCTACTATGCAAAAAAATTTTTTAAAAAGGTAGTCTCAGAGAAGAGCCTCCAAACACCACATGCTACCCCTCAGAGCCTCCCCCACCCCCCAAACATCATGACTCTTGTGAGATTTGGGTAATGACAGGTATCTGCTCAAGGCCATCTGAGGCTCTGCATTCAGCCAAGGTGAAGTCAAGAAGGGGTGAAAGAAAGGGGAGGGAAAGGGAAGAAAGGAAGTAGAAGCAAAAAGTACAGATGACTTTTTAAGAAGTTGGGCTATGAAAAGGAGGGAAAAAGGGCAATAGCTTTAAGGGATGGATAGTAGGGTGTAATGGAGGTTCGTTCAAGTCCTAGAAGGGAAGGCAGATACTCCTGGCTCCCCGTTATCACTTCTACAACTCTCCCTGTGTGTTCATCACTTAACATCTCTTTGATATCATCTCTTACTCCCTCCCCAACCTTCCTAGGAAGGAAGAAGGCTTAGCAGTACCAGATATCAAACTATACGACAAAGCAGTAATTATCAAAATGCTTGGATACTGGTTAAGAAATTGAGCACAGTAGCCAAGCGATAAACCCAAATATTACAGCTACTGTAATAAGCACTCACTATTCAACAAAAATTGCTGGGAAAATTAGAAACCAGCATGGTAGAAAGTAGGCATAGATCAGTATCTCATACCATATACCAAGATACTAAAAAAAAAGATAGAGGAACAAGGAAGAATTCATGGCCAAACAAAGAAGACCACAGAAGACAAAACAGACAATTCTCGTCATACAAAACAAAGGAAATTAATACAACTAAAATCATAAATGAAGCAGGTACGTGGAGGGGGAGGGGGAGTTACAGCAGTTTCTCTGATAATGGTCTCCTTTCCAAGAGATGCAGAAACAGACTCACATGTGAATAAGAGCCATTCCCCAACTGAGAAATGATCAAAACGCTATGCACACGTAGTTTTCAGAGGAAGAAATACAAACTATCAATAGCCGTATGGGAAAAAAGTGTCCCAAATCACTGATATTGGAGAAGCCAAAATTAAAGTGACTCTAAGGTTCTGCCTGAAAGCCGTCAAATTGGCAAAGTGGACAAGAAAAGGAAAGTCGCAAGTGCTAGAGTGGATGTGGGAAAACAAGTGCACTGATGCATCGTTGGTGGGGCTATAAACTGATCCAGACATTCTGGAGAACAATTTGGAGCCGTGCTCCTCAAAAGCTACTACCCTTTGACCCAGTGATGTTACTAATAAGTAAATCAAGTCACCAAACACATCAAAGAAAGAAGGAAAAGGCCCGTATGTACAAAAATATTAATAGTAGCTCTGTTTGCAATGGCAAAGAAACGGAAACCAAACAGGGTATTAATTAGCTAAGGAATGATTAAACAAATTAGGCATATGAATTTAGTGGAATACTATTGTGCTGCACAAAATGACGAAGTTGATGGCTTCAGAGAAACCTGAAGAGACTTCTATGTACTGATACTGACCAGAACGTATATGTACTGAAGTGACCAGGACAGGTAAATTTCTATACAAACAACTGTCAAAGATATACGAACTCTAACCAATACAATGACCAACCGTAAGTCCAGAAGACTAATGATGAAACATGTTACCCATCTCCTTAAAGAGAGATAAGAGATTCAGGGTGCAGACTGGGACTTTTTTTCCCCTAGACATGGCCAATATAGTAGCAATTTGTTTTGTTTTCACTATGCATTATTTGTTTCAAAGATTTTGTTTTTCTTTCTTTTTCAGTGGGGGAAAGATGAAGGAGGGAGAGAAGGTGAAATTTTTTCCACTGAAAAATTTTTAAGAAGATTTTTTTTAAAAGCCTATTTGGTCATCCCAGAAATATCTCAAGCTCAACATGTCCAAAACGGAACTCACCATCTTTAGATGAGATCTTTAGAGAGACCAAAGTGTTTCCTTCTTCCAAATGTCCCTAGTGTGTTGACAGTTGAAGGACCTTCTATTGAAGGACCCCACCCCTCTGGTCTGTCACATTCATAGCCAGGGCTCCTCACTGTCTTTCAACCCACACAGCCAATTAATTGTCAAATCTTGCCATTTCTCCCTTCCCAGAATCTCTAGTACCCAGTCTGTCTCTTCACTAACACATCTATCATCTCAGTGTGGGCTCTCATGGCACCTTCCCTACATTACTGCAGAAGGTTCCTGCGTGGCCCCCGTGGCCCTGGTCTTTCGCCTCCCCAGTCTGTTAGACGCGGTGCTTCCAAAGAATTTCCCTTCTGTGCAGATCTGACTGTGCGCTTCTCCTGTTCAACCACCTCCAGTGGCTTCCTATTCACCGTCTCTCGGTTAAACTACGAACCTCTCTGCTTAGCTTGTAGAGCCCCACACAACCCAGCCCCCAATCTATCTTCTTGTTCATTTGTTTGGGGAGGCAATTGGGGTTAAGTGACTTGTCCAGAGTCACACAGCTAGTCAGTATTATGTGTCTGAGGCCGGATTGGAACTCAGGTCCTCCTCATTCCAAGGCCACTGTGCTATCCACTGTGCCACCTAGCTGCCCTGCCCAATCTATAAGCACATTCATTACTCCTTCCACACTATACGTTCCAACCAATGTCATCTTTCCTGTGTTCCTCACACACAATGCACCACAGTCCATTTCAGTGCCTTTGCATGCTGGCCATCCCTCCCAGGCCTGGAAAACATCCCTTCCTTACTACTGTCTCCTAAAGTCCCTCTTTTCCTTAAAGATGCAGTTCAGGTACCATTGCCTGCAAGAGGCATCTCCCAAATCCTCTCAACTGCTAGTGGACAAGCTACCTGGTATTTAACTACTCTGTGTGTGTGTGTGTGTGTGTGTGTGTGTGTGTGTGTGTACTTCAAACTTACGATGCATATATTTTAATACAGGCATGCTTCATTTTATTGTGCTTTGTTTTATTGCACTTTGCAGACATTGCACCTTTTTCAAATGGAAGGTTTGGGGCAACCTTGTGTTGAGCAAGTCTATTAGTGCCCTTTTTCCAATAGTAAGCACTCACATCCTGTCTTTGTGTCACATTTTGGCGATTTTCACACTATTTCACACTTTTTTATTAGTAGTATATCTATCATGGTGATCTGTGATCAGTGATCATTGACCTCACTATTGTAATTGTTTTGGGGCACCACAGACCATTAACACCCACATAAAATGGTGAACTAAATGCCTAGATGTTGTGTGTTCTGACCGCTCCACCAACCAGCTGTTCCCCATCTCTCTCCCTCTCCTTGGGCCTCCCTATTCCCTGAGACGACAATATTGAAATTTTTTATTGTTTTTTTCACTGTGTCCCGCTCTTTGGGGGACCCCTATTTGGGGTTTTCTTGGCAAAGATACTGGAATAGTTCTCCATTTCCTTCTCCAGCTCATTTTACAGATGAGATAACTGAGGCAAACAGGGGGTAAGTGACTTGCCCAGGGTCACACAGCTAATAAGTGTCTAAGGCCAGATTTGAACTCAGAAAGATAAGTCTTCCTGACTCCTGGCCCAGCACTCTACCCACTATGCCACCTACCTGAATTTAAATTAGGCCAATTAATAACCCTGCAATGGCTTCTAAGTGTTCAAGTAAAAGAAGAGTTAATGTGGCAAACTTCATTGCTGTCTCATTTTAAGAAACGGCCACAGCTACCCCAACCTTCAGCAATCACCAATCTGATCAGTCAGTTGCCATAAACACTGAGGTAAGACCCTCTACCAGCAGAAAGATTATGACTCACCTGAAGGTTCAGATATTGGTTGGCATTTTTTAGTAATAAAGTATTTTTCTAATGAAGGCATGTACATTAATTTTTAGACATAATACTACTGTACACTTAATAGAGTACAATATAGTGTGAATATAACTTTTATGTGCACTGGGAAAGCAAAATATTTGCATGACTTACTTTATGGCAGTATTTGCTTTATTGTGGTAGGTAGTCTGGAAGCGAACCTGCAATACCTCAGAGGGATGGTGTCCTCCACCTGTGTTGTTCCCCCTCCTCCCACATTAGAATGTAAGCTCTTTGTGAGCAGGGGTCGCTGCATTCTTTGTATCTACATTCCCTTCTAGAAGTTAGAACCTATCAGTTGGGGAGAACTATAGGAGAACTAATTACTCTGCAATGTGGGAACGTTGGCCTCCCTGGTGCTCCCAACTCCAGCATTGTCACTGGCCCTCCCCCAAGCACGGAATTCTCTCCTTCCTCCTGGCTCCTGGCATCCCCAGCCCCCTTCGATTCCCAGCTAAAATCTCCTTTTCAGCAAGAAGCCTTTTTCCCAGTCCCCTTCTCATTTGAAGGCCTTTACTGTAAAATTATCTCCAGTTTACCCCTTACACATCTTCTCTGTACATAGCTGTCTGCATGTTGTCTCCCTCACCAGCTCCAAGGACAGGGACTGGTTTTGTCTTTCTTTGTATCCCCAGCACTTAGCACAATGCCCAGCACTTAGAAGGTGCTTAATAAATGCCTAGTGACTTGACTTGACCCAAGATCACACCCGGTGAGACACCAGGGTAGGTTACTGCAGAGCAGTTAGTACATTGCAGAATGATATATTTTTTTTTTAATTAAAGCTGGAAGGGACCTTAGAACATAGATTATTAAAGTTGGAAGGAAAAAACATATCCAAGGTAATATCCTGAGAGAGTAAAAGGCAACGGTGTCTCTGGGTAAAAAAAAAAAAAACCCCACAGCAAGCAGTGGGACTCAGAATACCTCAGGGAAGGTTCAGATAGACACCTTCTAGTTGGGGTCAGACGTTGTTTGGTAAACCCCAGCTCCTAACTGAATAACTGCCCGCCCTCCCCCCAAGCCCCCATTATTTCCAGTATTTTTC